TTTTCTTTTTCGACCTCAAACTTACCCTTATCCCATGGGTTTTCAGAAAAATTTTCTGGTTTTTTTCTACACTTGATCGATTTCGTCCTATCATCTACATCTACTTTCATATGAATCTGTGAATTTGTGTTTTCAGATGAGAACTCACATCGTGTTTGCTATCAGGCCATATACATGGACCCCAGCTGCTCCAATTACTGCAATCGCTACTTCGACTTGCATTCGAATACACGGCGGCTAGCTGTCCTCTTACTGGAACTTCACTATATTTAGTGATTATCAAGAAGACGATGTCTATGAAAAACCTTTTTCCTTTTTTAGTTGGAATATTATCGAAATAAAGTAGAATAGCCGGTAACCCTTGGCTGGAGAGAGAATCAGGGATAGCGACNATTCCAAATATGTGAACGAGCAAAGCTTGTGCTACCTTTCTGGGAGCTTGGGGTTCAGCTGACAATGGTTTCTTCTTGTCACAACAATGCACTATAGAGTAGAAGACGGCTGACGCGGCAGCAGTAACCACATACCACCACATGCTTGCCTCTGAACCAACTTGTGAATTAGGTGTCGTCTACATGTGAGCTCATCACTTTGTTGTGAATTTAATATCGCAATCGAGAGAACAGCCAAAGGAAATAACCACCTGTGAATGGCATGTGGAGCGTTGTCGTCCGTGCTGAACTAATGAACTACAAGAGTGAAGCATACCAGCCAGGATGTTATGTTTTTGCTTAGCACATTAATCACGGCGATAACTTAGGGGTAAACCTGAACAATCAGAGTAGTAACATCACAATGAGCTTGGTGAGCTACAGTGCCTCTATCTACACTTCCCCAAGTTTACCATACCGCCTTCCACTGAATCTTGCTCCAGTAAATCTACGTCTGAGATACTACGTGTGGTGCCGCGCCCAAAGCAGTACAGCACGATAGACTGACGTTCGGCCTTGCTTAATCCGTCAGAGACTGGAGGTCAAGATGCTTGTGAATCATCCCAATCAAACGGTATACAGACACCTACTTCCGCTTGTTTCAGCCTCGAGATTACGACTCCACAGCCACATGTCACACCTCCCTCAATATGATCGCATGGGGTGCCGGAACTTCTCCCCGAAATTCACGGCGGCAGAGGTCACGCGGCGGCTACCCTACCCTAGCAGTGGGAATTCAAGCCTTTCCCTTCAAAGTGCGCGAGTCCGCGCGATCGGGTACGGCGAACACGACGCTGTTTTCGGGAAGAAGATACCGGACCCGTGAATTGGAAAAATAATTACTTGGTGCCACTAGAATCATACGATCCTAGATCGTATTTGCAACGAATGTTCTGCATCTACTGGTTCATTTTGAACAGTTTTATTTACTAATTGTGAAAATTTTATTCAAAATAAGCGTTATTATGATTAAAGCATTCCAAGACTTGTATCGGACGTTTCACTACTCGGCTAACTCCTTTTTGAGAAATTCCTGTCCTGGAGCTGGCGGTGCTCCATAGATGTGCTCACATCGATAAGTGAGAGGATTCGGTTGAAATGGGAAGCAACAGCAACGACATACTTTTTCCTTCACTATGCGGCCACCATTTCTGATGGTCCTGAAAGGATTGAGATTCTTCGAACACATGGAGACCTTTGAATAACTCACTTCGTCTGTGGCAAACAGGAGTACCACTTGAGTGAATCGATGTGCTTACGGAACACTGGCTCAATCGTTGATAAATCGACACGAGGTGAAGGCCATAGACGGCATTCGCCTCCGTTTTCCTAAAAGAGCGTGACAGTGGTTTTTATGTAAGAAGTTCGGGAAACAATAGACCAATCCTCACTTTGAGCTGTTCATAGTCCACTTCACAGGAATCCACTTGGCTTTCTCCTCCTAAATCCAAAGCTGAACATACCCTTTCGGCCACATAGAACGGTATAACAGGACGACCACCGTCGATTCTGAACGACCAAAACTTTGTACTAGGGACATTTTTCATGTATTGAAAACAGCCCAGAATCTGCACATCCCTGTCATTCAGCAAATCAACATTTGAAAGGGGATTTCACGAGCAATAAACGGAGCGTGTAACGAAAATTACGTACGTTCAAGGGGTTGATGATTAAGTGATGCACCTCACGCCCTTTCGGAAGAGGAGAACAATAGGGACTATTAGCGCCACATTACCTGCGCTATAGCGCGCGATTTTCTAGCCGGTTTTCCGTACCATAACCTGAACAGGTGTATGGCGGCTCGTGGAAACCGCAAAAAGTCACCTGCAAGAGAGGAAGTTCTCCTAAATTCCCGGGAATCCTACAATCCTTCTCTACAGATTTGCTCTGTCCCTCTGTCCTATTCCATACCTAGGTTTTATGTGGGTAAGAATGAGCTTGTAGATGATTATGGATGATAGACAATAATAACGAATGATAAAAGCCGATAAGGAGCGTTAAGAAGCTAGAGCATAGAGAAAGCTTACGTAAAAGGGCTGGTATTGCACTTTTTACTGCCTCCATATCCACAGCTTTGTTTATACGAACACAGACCACAAGGTTTTCCTGAACGCAATACGAACTGCATGTAGTTGTAGAAGTTGTTCAGCGCCTTAAAACATGTTGATACTGTGATAAAAGTGATAATATTGTTGGCCACTTGATCCTCTCCCAAACTCAGCCGTGAATAGTTTCAAAAAATTCACGAACCCGCTTAAAAGACGTAGATTTAAGCTTGGTAATAGCTACATATTGAACGGCATTCCCAAAAAAACCTACGGTGTTGTATCGCTTCACGAACATGTAGAACCAGTGCATCTGACACACGGGTGATATCTGTTGAAGATACGGCACCTGAAAAATTTTCAGTCCTTCTGCATAATTTATAGCTACTACATACTGGAGGGAACCTTTAAAACCTTTAAACGGAGCCTCCCCCTATTTCTAATACCTCTAATCCCAATCTATCAATAAAATGTGCTGTTCCTCCTTTTTGATAGAAGTTATCCTTTTTCGACCTCAAACTTACCCTTATCCCATGGATTTTCAGGAAAATTTTCTGGTTTTTTCTACACTTGATCGATTTGGTCCTATCATCTACATCTACATTTCATATGAATCTGTTAATTTGTGTTTTCAGGAAGGAACTCACATCGTGTTTGCTATCAGGCCATATACATGGACCCCAGCTGCTCCAATTACTGCAATCGCTACTTCGACTTGCATTCGAATACACGGCGGCTAGCTGTCCACTTACTGAAACCAATATATTCAGTGATTATCAAGGAGAACATGTCTATGAAAACCCTTTTTTCTTTCTAAATGAGAATTTTTCAATCGGATGAAAGAGAATAGTCGGTAACTTTTGGCTGGAGAGAGGATCAGGGATAGTAAATTCTGCTCTGATGACGGTTGACTCCTAAGGTTTCAGTAATTGACACATTCAGCTATTAGTACTTTGTGGCATGTGATCGGCGTTCTAACTTTCAAAAGGGATTAATTATGAAAAAATTATGTTATTAGGGTTGTAAACAAAGAAGTAATCGGGCTTTCTCTTCGAGGATGCCACAATATGTATGGAAACTTTACAGAAGCACATGGTGCAGGGCACATCCTAATCCTAATACTAAAATCAAAGTACTTTACTAGCAGGCTTTACAGCCTTACAACATTATCCAATTGAACAAGAAAAGAAATCGATAGTAAAGCTCTTCACATTTGTCACATCAAAATCCACACCACAAGTAACCAAAAGTTCGAACTTTTAGACAAAATAGGAAATTAAAGTATAAACACATACAATTTCTGAATCTATCAAACTACTGACTACAAGTACTACATAACCAGTGTGTTTTCAACCGGTTACTTTGTTCCTTTTTCATCGTGATGCTGACACAATGAGCTTTTTTTTGAATATCTTTGGGACCCAGTCACTCTTAGTCAAAACATCCTCAATGGCCTTGTCTATTCACTGGTAGAAAGCAATGAATCGAACGATCAGATGGTTTTTCCCACATTCGCAGTCGAATATCTGGGTTAGCACGGACAGGTCGTAATTCTTTTTCGATCACCATGAAATGTCTACACCTGATAGAGATATTCTTTGCGATCATCCATAATCTCAAAGTTTTCTCTCCAATAACAACCGTCATCATCAAGAGTCACCAATCATTAGGACCCTATGACTGTAGATTCAAATTTTCGAATATGAGGTGTATATCAGTCAACTTGTTCAGATGTTTTTAAAATAAAAACAGCTTTGTTAGCGCATCATTAGAAATGTCAGTTTGCTACTCATTACTTGCCACGATTTTGTGAAAGTAATGTATTTTATTATAAACGTAATCCTTCGCTGAAAAGAGAATCTCACAAAAGAAGTAATGGACAGTAAAACTCACCGTGAACTCGGAACACTGGACTAGCAAGAGAGTTATTGACTGTGACAAAGAAAAAACGTCAAACAGGGGTGTCGTCACAAGAACGTCACAAGAAGAGAAGCCTAGTGGGAACCATAGAAGGCTCTCCTCTGAACCTTCAAAATTCCATTTTTACCGGTTGCACTGCGTGAAACTAAGCTTCTGAAGGTACCCTCTCACTGATCAAGAGGTTGCTTCTACCAGGGTATTCCCCATTAGGGAATGTGAGGACAGGGGTTTTAGTGGAATCGTAATTCGATCATATTAAGCAATAACCGTGACGATTATAATCCATTACTCATTACTGGTACAAACCGAACTACAAGTAAAGTAAGTCTCAGTGACCTTCCTGGGTAGATTAGGTGAAAAGACCATCACTGAACTGAAAAACTTTGCAGTGATGTTCTTCCTTACCTGTATATACGATGGCTAGACAGAGCAGCAAACGAAGCATATCGGAATGGTCGGATCGCCGAACTGATGGTCTCCGTCACGCCCAACTATCGCTAGTGGACACCAGTAGATGAGACCGTGATCGAAATTATGTATGATGACCTGGAAATGCCCCGATGAGCTACAAAAACCCAACAATGTTCTATTGTGCTACATTTTATTGCCTGGCAACGATCGTTCAGTGATGAGGTATCATTCGGCGGGCTGGATTCCGGACAAGTGTTGGAGGGTAGAGTTGTGATAATAATAATTCTGCGGTTGATTCCTCCGAGTAAATTTTCAAGATATTTTAGTCATTTATCCTTCACGGATGGATAATACTGCATGGAGAGGTGACTCTACCCAAAGTTTCTGCTTACTTGATGTTTACAATATCGAAAACTGACTACCTAACAAATATAATAGAAAGGCAAGCTCAGCCTAGACCCTCCCTAGCCAAAAAGGACCTCTGCTAGGCAATCTGCTATAAATTTCCAAGCCTGATTGGTACCTCCTTGACTTGGGTAAGGAAAATTCTTGGTTTTCGCGGACGGGTTTCGATCCACAGAGGAGAGTGGGCCCCATAGGCAAGCATTTTTCCCCTTTCTCAGTTGCTTGGTTATTCAATCGAGATTTCAAATGAGAATGTGGACCTTCTCACCAAGGAGTATTTTCGACTATTCAAAAGTGAAAAAGAGAGCTGTAGGTAAATCCATGGGATAACCCTTTTCATGACCACGGGGTCCTGATAGTCCATGCAAATTCAACAACAAACATGCAGCCGCCGGAGGTTCAACACTTCCGACGATTCCTTTGCCGTTCCTTCCTAATCCTCATATTCAAGTGTGTAATCTGAAACGCATCGTCCTTCCGACAAGGGAAAGTCTTCGTCGAAAGCCGGATTCCGGATCAGGCCGACCGATCTGTGGTCGAGGTTCCCTAGGATGACTGCGAAATCAGGTCAAGAAGTGCTCTTTGTCGAGGCCCACAATCACTCCGTTCGATCTTTGCATTTCCGGGCTAATAGACTTCCATGACTAAGTATGACTGTGCTTATCAGGACCCGGGAATTTCGGTTAAGTTGGTTACAAGTTGGGAACTCTTGAACTCTCCATCTTGTCTTTGGAAGAATGCATTGTAGCATATAGTTTTCGATACTACGAATGCCTCAAAAGGAATGTGAAATGCTTGATAGCTTGAACAGGGTCAATCATTTAGAGAATTGTTGTCGAACATTAAAGCAATTTTCCCTTTTTTTCTGATAGTGGCGTTTCTGGCAGGATATTTTAGAATTGAATTGAAATCAACTGAATCAACTCAGAGGTAAGCCAATGAACAAGCACAATAATTTCAAATAAACTGGGAATTCTCCGAGGTATTCATATAAAGTCACATATGTGTGAGCTAAGTGTTATCAATTTAAACTCATAAAACTGGACTTGTTCAAATCAGCTGTCATGTATCCGTTCTTTTTGTCGCTCAACTTTAAACTTGAGTGCGGACTATGTTTTACGGCAAAAAACCAACCTTGCACTTGTTACTTGAGATCGCCTGTCGCCTGTTAACATCATGTCATCATTATAGGGAACGAGGATCCGGCTTTTGATGAGATCGTCAGGTAGTATCCACCATGGAAATTAAGGGAACCGGAAATAGACGAATCCTGGGATTCCATGAAAGTAAGATGTATCCAACTCAACAGCCTGCATTGTTCAAATTCTGTTTTTGGTGGGAGAAAATGATAACAAGCAACTTCCACAGCTGAACTTCCACGTGAAGTAAGAACCACCTTTAAGATGTGGAATCAACCTACTCGAATATAGTGCTTCTCTTCAGAAGCATGCTTATCCCTTCAAAAACTTCCCCACACCACGATTTCCAGCTTCATGATTCTTTTCATATCGAACTTTTGATTGTCGTGTAATGCTGTAGAAAGCAGCACTATCCCGTCCCTTAACTCCTTCCCCTTTTCTCCCTCCGATCTGCTCCTTCCGGAAAGAGCTCCACCCTATCGCCTTTTCCGCTTGAACACTATCACGATATTGGCTGGAGGATTTCCTGTGACCCATAGAAAAGTGATCCTCGACAGTTTTACAAGGACGAACGTATCCGAGTTTGATAGAAGCTCATATGAGGTATGAAAGTCAAGCATGGTGATGAAATGGTCTGTCACAAGTAGAACCACCCCACTGAGCCACCTATTGTTGTGAAACCCTATCTAAATTTATCTAGGCACTTCTGATCCGCTGACAAGCAGGTGTGAGATCAGTAGGACACAGTCATAGTATCAGAGCTGACTGAGCTTGAGTAAAGGAGGTCATGGACGAAATTGCTAATCTGAAAGCAAGCGGCACATCATGTAACCAGATTGGAACAATTATCCCTAACTAAACGAGCACAAATCGCAAGTCTCACCCATTTCTGCAAAGCCATCGATTCCTCCTGAGTAGCCTCCTTAGAAAGTAAAAGTACTTCTGGTTTTTTGCTTCTCAGCTGACATCGGATTCCTGGTGAGGTTTTAATGAGGAAACTGAATAAGCAACCACAACTTTTTCAGCAAATAATTGAGAAGAAACCATATTAGCATTCGCAATGGCCGGAATTCATAAGCTCTACTCAAAAATAAACCAGAATCTAGCGAAAACCTAGTCACATGAGGAAGATCGTTGATGAAAAGCAGTGGGGGAAGTCCCATCCTCGCGACAGTTACTCCTTACCGCTCTGGAAGATTTCTTCTGATCACAAAGATTTCAATCAAGTAACTTTTGCTGTAGTAAATGCTGGGATACACATGAAGCTATAGTGTAATCACATTCACACCAATTGATTTCGTTTTTCGGAGCATCTTCTCTGTGAAAAACTCTATAAAGCATCGTTCACCTTTGGATAGGCCAAAGAGTTCACTCGCCTCTAGACGTTTAGGTCAGTGCAGTTACTTTTGAACTCTTTGGTGGGGAGGAGGAGTCACTCGCTTTTCGGAACTAAAGTTCTTTAGGAAGCACCAAAAGGATGGGTTTACCTCACCTCCCCTCCGTGCTACTTCAACTTCTTCCGTGACCCCGTGGCCGGGGCTGGGTGCATTTTTCGTTTACGGTCCCTTGAAGGGTGGATTGCCTGATACGACAACTTCAATGGGGTTCTTCCGCTCCCGTGCTTCACCTAATGACGAAAAATTCTTGGCCTTGCTTGTGAATGGTACTTTGGCTGCACTATGTCAGCCAGTAAGAAACATAAGTGGAATCTACGGACGAAAGCTGTCGAAAATGGCAATCCTGACAACAGAGCCGATTGGAAATTCGGAAGATCCTCCAATAAAGTCTGAATAGATCAGATAATATCAAAAACCATGAATCCCGATGCTCAACAGGAACAGAAATGAAAGCCACCGTATTGCCCTCTCCAGTGGTAAACTGACATTCTCCAAGGCGACCTCACCGAGAAATCAACAAGATCCGTGCTAGGAGCAGCCATAAACTTCAAATTACCTAAGAGCACGGCTTTATAGCCCTAATGGCTTATAGCGATCGCCACACAAAGGCTAATAGTCTGTGCCTGTCTGAAGATTTCATGCTCCGTTGAGATTTGCTGCGGTGCGACGTCGCGTGTCGCAACCGCTCAATTCACTGGTACGGAAGGCAGACCACGTGCGCTGCTCATTTCGTCGCATCCAGCCTTTGTCATTGGATTTTCGCTGAAATTTTGGTTTCCCTCTCTAATACCACTCTTCTCAGTTGAACTCTAAACTCTTCGCTTTCTCCACCACTTGAAATAATCACCATTTTATTCAATGTAACACGGATGTTGGCAAAAAGTAAAACCATCCAGGAGTTGTTGTTCTCGATCACGCACTTTTACATTTCCTTCGTTACACTTAAGTGTTCAATTTTGTGATTCGTTAACTAACCACTTCTTTTTGAGCCTTGGATAAGTGTTGAGTAGAACTTCGATTGCCCTTTAAAACAACTTGATATGCATGTCGTTTACTTTGGAGCCACTTTCTCCTATAGGAATCATTTTCCAATTCATGTAAAATTGCTGTATAGGGCTTTCATATAGGTACCTTACGGTGGAATGTATTGATTCAGGGAAACGGTAAGGAAAACAAGAGGATTTAAAGGAGTTAGATTGTTGAGGATATATTTTTGGATTCCGGAATTATTCCCCCAAGGATGAAACAGTAGTGACTAGCTCTGCATTCAGTAGGCTCCACCGGTTGGAAGTTTAGAAAAACAAGCTCAAAACAGTGTGGGTAAGGTGGACGGGATGAGTACTGCAGGATATCTTTCGGACACAATACTTTCATCCTAACGAGACGCTTTGTGCTGCTGGGAGAATGGCCTCATTACATGATCGTCCTGGTCCAGTATGAGTGTGTGTACCGCTTCAAAATCGCCTCCGAGATGGAAACATACATGCAGTTTGCTTGAGCTCCCTGCAAGTTACCCGAGCCAGGTTCAAGAGCCATTCTCTTCGTCAGGGCTACATTTCCCCATTGTAGTTCCGTTGATGATGAAAGTATTACCTAACTACAAACATATTTATTTGGCAAAATCGACTTTGAATGTTATGGAAATGAATTCATCGAAAAGAACATTGGCTGGATGTGCAAGTCTTGCTATGCATGGATAATACACTTTTTCATGTAAACAACCTTTGCGAATGATATTTTTCCAAATTTAATGCCCATTTTTGGTTTGTTTCACTTCACAGTCAATGATAATTGCCGCCTTTTCGCTGCGGAAAACGTTCCACAGCGAACTTGCTTTTCATTTGTGTATTGATGGACCTTTCATTATTAAGGATAACCTTTTGGAATCCGTTGATTCTAAATAATGGCATGCCCTCATAGTTCAAGAGATATCACATTTTTCAGTTTTATTGCTTAACCCCACAGCCACTGATTCTTTGAAGAAGGTGAAAGAATTCTATTATGAGGTACTGATGGAACAAAAAGTAATTTTCAGCTAAAACAGTGTACTCGCAAACGTCTTTTACGATCACACAAGGAATCACAAGTAGTTTGGGCATCAGGACAAGGAGGTTCGTTGGATAATACGGCTGTTTATATTTTTGTTGTGGCCTGTCCTCCTTCCTTGTGTCATTGACGTTGCTATGATCTTTATCTTCAAAAGGAGCTGAATTTCATGGCTCCTGGCAGGAATTCCGATAGCGGAGCACGGGCGGCGGCGGCCATCGTGGCTGCGTGGGCTGGTGTGGTTTTTCGATTATGGACTCTATTTGCATGTTTGAATGCTGAGGCAATCCGTTCATTATTCACTTTCAACTCGATCAATTTCACCTTGTCAGGAATTCCTCTTTAATGGCTACTTTGGCTAATTTGCGCTATGCTCGCTTATTCGGCGTTATTCCTTTCATAACCGATTTATTCGCATATCATGTTGCTTTAAGATATTCTTCAGTGATCGGTTATGGCACACCAGACGGGACTTGATCACATCAGTCTTTATACAGGTGAATAGAACGAAGGCACGTGTTCGGCGTCGTAGATTCTCGTCGCATTGATTCTTTTTTTTTT